TACAAGCTTCTCTCTTTCTTGCACTTCATTTTACTGATTCTCAATCTTCTTGAAAATCATGATTTCTCTTTAGTTATCATGGTATCAAGAGCTTAGGTTCGGTGAATCTAAGAATGGATCTTGGTTTGCTCATCAGACAATGGAAGAACTCGTTGCGCGGATCTGATAGCTGTTTGGGTTGAATTTTTCATCGATTAATTGAAGCTTTGTTTCGGTGAATTAGGTTCAGGTCCCTCTGATTGTTTTTCGTAATTGTGATCGATCTTTGTGGAATTGTTGGAGGTCTCTGTTTTTTTTGTGTTGATGAATCTAATTGCTATATGATGATTGATATGGTAATTTTCTAGGGCACAAAGCCTTCAATTGACTGTTGAGATTTTCTTATATTTGAGAAATTGAAGCACGAAGCTCTCTGATATATTCAATTTGTCTGCGAATTTGTATTTGTGTGTGGTGAAAATGTGTTGAAGTATGAGATGAAGATTGATTTGGTGATTTTCTAGGCACTAAGCCTTCAATTGATTGTTGAGATTGTATGTGATCTAAGAGTTTTTGAGCACGAAGCTCTCTGATATAAACAATTTGTCTTAGACGTTGTATGTGTGAGGTGAAAATTTGTTGAAATATGAGCTTATGTGGATTGTTCTGAGTATTTTGTAGTCAGTAGTTGATTGTTGTTTTTTGGCACAAAACCTATTATTGATAATATTTGAGCACGAAGATCTCTGAAGAAGTAAAAGTTTGTGGTTGATTAATCATGGTGTGGTTGTCAAAATCAAAGCAATGGCTATGAATTTTGTTAAGTTGGATAGCTTACTGGGGATGTTAACTATGAGACTTCAGGATGATAATTTTGTGAAGTGGTCCTTTCAATTAAGATTAGTCCTTGAAGGTTATGAACTATTTGATCATTTTGATAGTTCTTCAGTGCGTCCTCCTAAATTCGTATTCACTTAAGCGAGTGGGATTACTATTGAGCTAACACAAGCGTACAAGGAGTGGATTAAACAAGATAGAGCTCTTATTAGTTTGTTGTTAGCTACATTGGGAGATGAAGCTGTGGAATATGTTGTAGGTTGCAAGACTGCCCATGAAGCATGGACTAATCTCCAAGACCATTATGCTAATGTCTCTAGAGCTCGGATTAACCATTTAAAAACAAAATTGCATACTATCAAGAAAGGTGCTGATGGCGTGGAAAAATATATGCTCAGACTCAAGGCTTTTAAAGATCAACTCATTGCAGCTGGGGAAGTTGTGTCTGATAATGATCTCATTGTGGCTGCTTTGGCTGGTTTACCTGCAGAGTTTAACATGATTCGCACTGTCATTGTTGCTCGAGAAACTCCAAGCTCTTTAAAAGAATTCATGGCACATTTGTTGGCTGCTGAAAGAACAGCTGAAGAATCACAGTCTACAATGACCTTTCCTATGTCAGCCATCTACTGTCAAGGTGAATCATCGAATGCTGCTCCAAATTCTCAAGGGTCTTCTCAATATTTTACTGGTGGATATGGTTTTGTCAGTGAACAAAATAATGAGTCTTAGATTCATGCTTCAAGGCTAACTGGTGGTACCGTGTCTCAAGCAAATTTGCCTCAATTTCATCAATAAGGCAATGGTAACTTTCAGAATCAAAGAAGTTATCAAAACTATAGTGGAAATAATGGAAGGTTCAATAACAGACCAAGGTATAATGCTGTTAATTCTGGGAGGTTCTCTGGGAATTCAAACTTTTTTTCAAGAAGTTCAAGTAATAATGGAGGTTCTAGTTTTGGCTCAAAGGGAGGTTCTACTTGGCAGCATTGGAATGGCAACAATGGATAAAAAACTACATTGATTCCTGAATGTCAAATATACAATAAGCGAGGCCATATTACACCAAATTGCTACTCTCGATATAATGCAAGTACTAGCATTGCACCTCCAATTCTAGAGTGTCAAATTTGTGGGAAGAATGGGCATACTGCTCTTAATTGTTACCATCACAGTAATTATGCTTATCAAGGTGCACTGCCTCCAGCATCTCTTATTGCCCTTATTGCACAAGCTCCATCAAGTTTTGCTTCTTCTTCACAACCAAATTGGGTGTTAAACACTGGTGCTACACATTATATGACCGCTGATCTGGATAATTTGACTCTAGTGACTCCTTTTGATGGCAATGATAAAATTATAGTTAGCAATGGTAAAGGGCTTTATGTTCCTAACATTGGTTTGGGTTCAATTTACAATCATTCTAAACTTTTAACATTACAAATGGTTTTACATGTTCCTCGATTAGTTACTAGTCTTTTGTCTGTGTATAGACTTTTTAAAGATAACAATCATTATGTTATTCTTGATGAGTTTGGTTTTTGGGTGCAAGACAAGGCAACAAAGAAAATCATATTGAGAGGAATGCATTTCTACATGGCTATCTCAAAGAGGATGTCTACATGATGCAACCTCCTGGTTTTATTGATCACCCTAAACCGCATCATGTTTGTAAATTGAATAGGTCACTCTATGGTCTAAAACAAGCACCCAGGGCCTGGTATAAAGCATTTTACAGTGCTATTCTTTCATTGGGCTTTCTCTCTTCTTCTTCTGATACTAGTCTTTTCATCAAGAGTGATTCTACCATTACCTTTATCCTCGTCTATGTGGATGATATCATCATAATTGGGAGCTCAACTACTGTTTGTCAGTCCATCATCTCCAAGTTGCAATCTTTGTTTCCTGTCAAAGATTTGGGAGATATTCATTACTTCCTAGGCATTGAAGTTCATCAATCCTCTACCAGTCTTTTTCTTATTCAATCCAAATATGCCTTGGATTTACTTAAGAAATCAAACATGCTTGGTGCCAAACCTTGTTCTACTCCAGTGAGTTTAGCTAAGTTGGATCACTCTGGTTCTGTGCTCTCCGATCCTACATCTTATCGGTCAACTGTTGGTGCTCTTTGGTATTTGACCTAGACACGACCTGATCTGGCTTTTGTAGTGAATCAGGTTTGCCAGCACATGCATGCTCCTATAACTATACATCTCCAGGCTGTTAAGAGGATTTTAAGGTACCTCAAGGGCACCATTAACTCAGGATTATGGTTTAAACCAGGCAAACAGTGTCTCACAGTTTGGTCTGATGTTGATTCGGCAGGTTGTCCAGTAGACCGAAGATCAACTAGTGGCTATTGTGTTTTCTTAGGTCCTAATTTGATCTCTTGGAGTGCTAAGAAACAAACCAATGCGGCACGGTCTTCTACTGAAGCAGAGTATCAGGCCTTAGCCAATACTGCTGCTGATATCACTTGGGTGTGCAAAATATTGACGAATATTTCTTTTCCTCTTTTACAAACTCCTGTGATTTGTTGTGATAATCAGAGTGTTATTGCATTAGCCAAGAACCCAGTTTTTCATGCTCGAACAAAGCATGTCGAGATTGATTACCATTACATCCGAGAGAAGGTTCTTCAAGGTCATATTAGCATTTATCATGTTGCTACTCTCTTTCAGGTTGATGATATTTTTACTAAATCCTTACCTACAAACAGATTTGCTACTCTCAGTCACAAGCTTTCAGTTTGCTCTCCTCCCTTCAGCTTGAGGGGGTGTGTTAAGGATATTGAAGGACTATATACTAATCGTGAGCATAATGCATTAGAATAGTACTCAGATACTTAGCTTAATTGTTAAGTTTTGGTTTGTTAGAGTTAGTTGTGTAAAATGCTTAGTCAGCATTATTGTGTATTTATGTGTATATATACACTTTGTACTTTGGGAATGTTTTAATGAGAATCATTCTTTCACAAACACTATCTCTCTCTAGAAACTTTCTCTCTCTAAATTCTCTTTAGGATCTAGAATTTCTTGCAGATCTCTTATCTTCAACAGTTTTGTGGAAGGGAGAGTGCACGAACCTCTTGACTTGTGGAAGCGGATGATTTGCGAGGGATTTAGGCCGAATATTGTTGCATATACTAGTCGGATACATGATCTCTGCACTAATGGAAAAATGGGGGATGCTGTATCTGTTTGCTATGAGATGGAGAGGAATGGCTCCCCTAGACCACATATAGCTCTCTTATTGATGGCTTTGCAAAAGCAGGTACCCTTGTTGGCTGCCCTCCATCTGTACAACATGATGAACCGTGGTTGCCGCCCTAATGAGTTTTTGGACGGTCTATTCAAGGCAAACAGATTTGAAGAAGCTTATGGAATTGTTGGGGAGATCGAGGAAATAAGGATGGGACTGAATTTGGAAACTTACAATACCACTTTGAATGGTTTTTCTTCAGGCTGGAATGCCAAGGAGGCTATGCAGCTTCTCGGAAAGATGCTGGTAAGGGGAAGGAAGCCTGATACCATCACATATAATACGATTATATATGCCAATTGCAAGCAAGGTTCGATTAGCACTACCATCACATGGAATGCACTAGTGCGGTGTTTCTTTAGCATTTTAGGTCATTTGGGGCCAATCTGCATATTGGACAATATAGTTCGCAAAGCCTAGGAAATGTGAATGCGATGTTCTTATAGAGAATCATCTAATTTTATGATATGATTAGCCCAACTATTATTAAAATGTGACAAATGCACCGGGCTAGCTTACAAAGTTTCTTACAAAATAAAGCTCTCTTACCTGTGAATATCTAGAGTAGCTCATACGCTCATTCCTTACTTTCAGAAGTCGAACACGCTGTTAATGCACTTGTAACCCCTTGGAGGCCCTGGGAGATTAGTGGCTCTGGAGGAAGCCTAGAATCCAATGCAACATGTTGTCCAGAAATTCTGCAACAGGACACTCATCTTTAACTCTTTTTCTTATGGCATACTGGCTTTGCACTCTTGTTGTAGTAATGTGCAAGAATTATGTATGTGACCCACATAGTTTCGTTCGTTTTTTTTTTTTTTTTTTTTTTTGGGTCAAAAATGTAATCCGTGTGATTTGCTCACTTATGTGTCATGTTTATGAATTCTAAATAGAAAATTTTGGCAACATATGCAAACTACAACTTATTATAAGAGTTTTCTTACTGCATTTTCCGTGCTCTATTAATATAATATTATGTGAACAAACTCGAAGGATTTATGCGAACAAAATGAAGCATGAAACGATTCCTTACATCAAATTAATTAAAAACATGATTTATTCTGTCTAGAAAAGGGAAAGAAAAAAAAGAAAAAAAAAACATTCTGAAGAAGGTAAACTAGATGGCAACCAAACTAGTCCTATTTTTTTAAGTTATTAACTTTTTAACACACATATCCTACCATTTATATAATAACACGTGGTGTACCACTTCATCTACCGGTCACACTGAAAAATCTCTCCTATTCCTTTTTCAAATAAGATTTAGCAATCCGGCCGCCAGCTCCTTTAGGGTAGATACCGCCAGGTACACGTTCATTACCGCTACCGTATACGATCCTTAGTATCTCCTCCGGAGTCCTGTCATATGCAACTGAGTACTCGTCTCCGGCAAGAATATTGCCGCTAACTTTTCCCTCAGCACCCAAGTCTATGGGAACCACAAGGCCTTCATCTTTCAAACCTTCGTGTCCTAGCTTATTCCTTAGTTCCGAAATGACAGTTGTGAACTCAGCCACTGTAATGCCATATGGTTCTACTTTCAACTTTGCACGCTCGTATAGCAATGCTCGAATCACTGCATCTTGGCCTGATTCCACACCCAAAAGACCTGCAACTAGCTGAACATGATCCACATAATCAATGATGTTAAGGCCGTTAAAACCATGGTGAAAGTTCATGGACCATTTCCAAATTTTACTCTTCAAAATTATTGTGTTTGAAGCATAGACCAATATACACATAAATAGTTTGATTTTAGTTACAGGGTAATGTTTTCTTGTCAAACTAGTTTACCAAACAAATATAGTAGAGCCATGTTTATTCTTGTCATAAAATGCGATCAAGATTCACAGTCTGCAAAACATAATAAGAATCTAATAGAATACTTTTAAAATACTTACCCTTTTGGCAGTAGCACCTTGGAGCTTAGGGCTTGCACCAACATAGGCAGTGAGACCAACATAAGGAATGAGATAGGATGCAAGGAGATAGTTGATTGAATTGGCATAAGGGTCAAATGGTGGATTTAAGGGACGCTCAAATGCAGAATCAAACACATGAGCAAATGATGCTGCACTTATATTCAACAATGGCCTTGGGAAACCCTTCACAGTTTTCTTAATAGCTCTGCACAAAAATTAGAAGAAAAAATAAATAATTTTGTAAGCTTTCTATGTACCATTTGTAAATCAGACATGAATTCCGCAAATCTATTTGCTTATCGAATTCATTCAATCTAAATACTAGAAACAGTCTGTACAGAAATGAAAAAGTTAGACGAAAATCATAAATTAGAAAGGAAAAAAAGATTGAACCTCAAGTGTCCAACTTCTTGCCATCCAAATTGCTCGATGACATCCCTAGTGAAGTCGTCCAAATGTGCCTTTTTGGCACCAATGGGAGACGGACCTCCTTGGGCTAAGCTCGGATAAACTTTATCCAAGCCATACCCCAAAGAGCCATACAAAAAGAACTCAGCTTCCAAATACTCTAAATTCAAAGGAAACTCCAAAAGATCGACGTCCGATTTCCGGACGGACGAGGAGGCGTCGTGGTGATGGTTGTGAAAAATCGATTCGGAAGAGCAAGACAGCGGGAGGAGGATGAGGAAGACAATGGCGGTGGTGGTGGCATAAGCAAATGTGGCCATGGTTACAGACTTAGTTTTGAGAGTATGTCTGAGCAGCGGTGGACTTGTTCATATATATAGCATGGATGATGAGCTCATGAGTTCAATGCACATTAAATATAAAAATTTTGAAAAAAAAAATTAAAAAAAAATCCCTCATGGGTTTAGTGACACGTGGCAGAAGAATACTCGTTCAAAGTTTGAATAGCCAGCTGAGTCTTTTGATCTCAATCCCTTTCAATTATTTATTATTTTTTCAGGATTTTAATTTGGATTATTGAGGCAGTTACTTAGGATCCTGAATAACGTTTGTCCTTGATGCATGGTTCGCGTAGGTAGCCGATGATCGGGGGATGATTCATGATTTATAATTGCCAACAAACCACACGTTTGCACGTTGAAAGTTTTGCTGTAGTTGTCCTTTTTGGGTAATATTTTATAATAAGAAAAATATTAAGAAGACTCTTTCAAAGTAAAATCTCACAATTTAACATTAATTTTGATGTGAATATTATAAAATGTGGTGTAAAAAATATGAGGTGATAAAAAATATGTGGAGAATCTTGTTTTTAATATCTCCTTAGTATTTATCTTTAAAATAATGCTATTGTTATTATTTATTTGTAATACAATTTTATTTCCTCTTTCAGATGGCATCTCATGTGACGAGAGATTTTTCAGTGAGCTCGGATAACAGAGTAGTACACCACACGTTGCTATATAAATAGTGAGATATTTGTGTTAAAACAATAACAACTTAAAAAATAAAATTCATTCCACTTATATAATAGCACATAATGTACCACTTGTGTTCCGAGCGTAATGAAAGATTTTTCCAACCACATTAATTTCAATTAAAAATAATTTAAAAGCCATTTAATTAAACAATTTATGATGATTGGAGTTTAGGACCTTCCTTCCCATTAATGTCTGCTCCTTCCGTCCTCTTTCTTTTTCACGCCAGTTCTCTCGACCATATAATCTAAACTGATTCTCATACGGCATGATGAATCCTCAATCGGTCCCCTACTTGGATTATTGGTAAGCATTTACCATTATTTTTCATTGAATTCCTATTTTTAAGTCTTTTTTTTAAATGAAAAATAAAGACAGATGCTTAACAACAATTCAAGTAGGGGATCACCGATGAATCATGCCGTATGAGAATTAATTTAGATTGTGGTGGCCTGTGAAAGAACTGGAGTGAAAAAAAAAAAAAAAAAAAAGACTTGAAAGGAAAAGGAGCAAACTCCTCGTAAACTTTTATTTGATCCTATCTTTATTCTCATCTTGCCGTATGAGAATAAAGTATGAGAATGACATGGCAACGAGAATTGATTTAGAGTACTGATTCTCAACTAAAAGTTAAGATGACTAGTAAATGACATGGCAATGCCTTCATCTTCCTCCTCTGCCGTTTAGGTCTGCAACTCTCCAACAACAACAAAAAGCTCTGCAATATGCCATTAATGAAATTCATCTTTGTCTTTGATGCAGTGAATCAGTTGCCCGCCATTTAAAATAATAATACAAATAAATAAAAAATAAAAAAAAACCAAAGCTAATTGGAAATCCAAACAAAAATATATCCCAATATTCGAAAAACTTATTCTATCTGCCATGAAAATATGAGTTTCCTTCCTCATTTAATTACAACTAGCCTTCATACACGCTCTTACGTGTAACTACATATTTTTTGAATCATATTATTGTTAGTCCATTGTAAGGCTCATCCCACCCCTTCTCCTTTCGTGTAGATAATATCGTTTGTTCAAAAAAAAAATTATTTAACAATTAATTGAATCACATTATTATGCGCGTGTGAAATACCTTTTTTATAAGCTGCACTACGCTCCTCTTAAGATGTTTTGAACGTGTTTAAAAATAGAGAAAATAATATTTAATAATCAACCGATTGAATCCAATTATTGTTAGCCCATTGTGGGGTACTAAAAAAAAACTGCACAAAAATAATTAATTATAAAAAAAAACTGTTTATATGACGTAAATTGCTTTTGAACTTTGTTTGTTTGGGGGGTATTTCTATCCAAAACTTTTAGGTGAAACTCATGACCCCAAATGAGGGTTGCGCGCTTTATATAGTGGTTCGGTATGGGATCTCAAACCGAAAATGAGATTCAAATCCCAAACAGAAAATTATTGGGATGGAAATTTGAAGACCAATCCCAAACCGAAATTTCGGTATTTCCAATTTTCGAGATTCTAGAGATGTTATGAGTATTTCAAGATGGATTGGGATTGGATTTTCGATTTTGGACTCTTGGGTTTTTGGGTTGAAATTTGAAATTTTTGGGCTATGGACTAAAATATGGGTTTTTTGCCTAAAATTTTGTCCTCCAATTTCATATCAATTGAAATTTAGGCTTTTTATGTCGTACCAATTTGAAATTTCATATCAATTGAAATATAAATTTATTCTTACCAAGTCAAGTTGATGTTCCAAATTTTCAAACTACTTAATTTCATGCTTCTATTTCTAACATAGTCTACTATCAAGGTACTTAAATTGTAAGAACCTGTCCCCAATTATTACGATTTTTATAATTTTTAAATGTGAATTTACGAAAATGCCCTTCGAGGTAAACTGTTGACTTTTGTTGACTGCCGTGTCATGTCATGTAAGGTTCAATTTCTTGGTGTATCCTCGTAGTACTCGTCGCCACAAACGCGTGGGCGCAAACGGATTGTGATTTGGAGTTATAACAAATGAGTTATTAACGTTTAAAGTTGGGGGCATTTTAGTAAATTGGTTTATTTCTAGAATGCTCCAAATTTTTGGAGCAAAATCTAGAAAGCCACGTGTGTGGCCCAGATTAAAAGGTAAGAGTGTTGGATGGTGGAGATGAAATATAAAGGAGAGAAAGGGGGGAACCGGACTAATGAGAAAGAAGAGAAAGAGAAAGTGATCAATGGGAAGAGAGAAAAAGGAGGGAAATGAGGGAGGAGAAAAAGGAGGGAAAAGAGGGAGGAGAAGGAGGAGGGGAACCTGCCCGGTTCTCCTTGACCCATGCCCAACCCGGCTTCTCCACACCTTCCAACGCCTTTGCAGGCGATTTTTCCGGCAAATCGCCGCCATTCATCACCTGGAAAACATTCCACTACCCTCCCCCTTCCTTTTCCACCTAAAATTATAATGAATTTGGTTGTATTTTGAGGAAAACATCCCGACGGAACCATGGGCGCCATGAGGACCTTTGGCCGAGATCCACCAAACCTGAAACATTTTCCTTCAATCAACATCACCAATAGACTCTTCATGAACCCAGAAACAAAGCCCAATCAACCTTGAAGGCGTCGGAGCTTGTATGGAGTCGAATCAAGAACCACCCTTTAAAGGGTTTCCGACGGGTTTTAGTGGAATTGGGGCTTTTCTCGGCCAAATTGGCCTTAGTCATAGGCGGCAATCGTTTGTGACGCCTTGATATTTGTGCTAGGGAGTTGTAGCGCAGACTCCAGGTGAGTAGGCTTTTGGTTTTCTATATATATACGTATGTATACTTTACGTTTTTCCTAGAAATTGTTTTAAATGAAATGTGATTGAAATGCCATGTCATACTTGTGTTATATTTTAGTATATACATTATTGTAGTCATGTATAATGTTGCATGATGCTGTGGAGCCCAAGTAAGCTACAGGTAAGTACATTATGTGGTTAGTGGTTATGATGTATATGGTTATACATGGATGCATTTGGTACTCATTATCATGCACCTTGGTGTTAGTGCTCCGTCCGAGGTCAGGGCCAGCCTTCACATGATCATTCACCTCCTGCACCGTACATTCACCTTGGATCCAAGGCAGGTGCAAGCCTATCGTACATACCACATTAGGTAGTTCCGACTCGTAGGTGACTTGCGATACTTCGTACAGCCTTCACGTGATCGTAGCACTTAAGCGTATTTATTTACACCTAGCTTGTCGTACAGACCACATTAAGTGGTTCCGACTCGTGTGTAGGTTTAAAGCCGTACAGGTCACGTTAGGTGACTCCGGCTGGCATATCATTTTATATTGATTTATTTCATCTGGCTTACTTATTTCATTGCTAAGACACTTGACATGACATATACTTGGTTTTCACTACTCTCTAGCATAATTTCTATATACGTATGTATTATTATTTTCTGGGAAATTATACAGGTTTTACGACGAAGGGTTATAATGTTTTCAAAAAGGTTTTTATTAAAAACTTTATTTTCAGGCCCACTCACCCTTATTTTTGCACCCCTACAAGTTTTAGATGCTGAAAGTCCGTATCGACGAGGATTTGTGGCGAATATCAGTATAGGTTGCTACCTCTAAGGGTATGATCCTTAACCACACTACTGTACTTTAGTTATGCTCTGACGTTGCGTGTGAAACGGGCTCGTTCCCGCTCGCAGTGCACTCTGGTCCTTAGGCAATTTTAGGTTTAAATTTAATCACATTTTCCACATCACTGTACCTTATGGCTTCATCACCTTCCAGATGTCGGCTAGCACAGCTCGATTCGGAGTCCTAGTGGACATTCTGGGTCAGGTTGTGTCATAAATTCAATATTTAACATGCATACAACCAAAATAAATATATATATATATATATATATATTTGGTTAAATTCGAGATTCCCGAATCATTAAATATGTAATCCCGATTCCATACCGAAAAGTTCAAGATTGGTTCAATATGGATCCCAAAAATTTCGGTATTATCGGTTTGGGAATTTTTTTGTTTGGTTTGAGATTTTCAAGAAAAATTTCCAGCCCTAGTATATCCTAAAAAAAAAACTGTACAAAAAATTAATTATAAAAAATACCATTTATATGACGTAAATACCCTTGCATTATTTGATGCATTATTAGCTGCTTTTGAACTTTTCTTGTTTATGGGGCATTTTTGTCCAAATTTTTTTAGTGAAGCCCGTGACCCTAAAGAGGAGCTGCGCGCTTTATATATAATATAATAGTATAGATTTTCCTCGTGAAATATTAATATTCAACCATCAATGACACATCCCAACCCGGAATGTCCACTAGGACTCCGAATCAAGCTATGTTGGCCGACACTTAGAAGGTGACGAAGCCATAAAGTGATGTGGAAAATGAATGTGAATAAATTTAAACCAAAAAGTGCCTAATCAAAAGAGTGCGCGGGTGAGCGGGATTGAACCCCTTTCACATGTGATGTCAGAGCATGAGACAATATAGTAAATAGGATGAAGGTTATACCACTAGTGATAACGATCTCTTGAGATTTGCCAGAATCCTTGTTTACACATAAGCACAGCTACTAAACCTGGAGCGGCAAAAAACAAAGTTGAGTGGGTCAGCAAAACAACGTTTGTAAGAAAACCTTTATTTTCGAACATACTAACCCCTTGTCGTAAAACAAGTATAGTTTCCTTAAAACATACTACGTAAGTATGTAACAACAATACAATAGCAATATAACCAAAAATATGCCAAGTCATGATATATCAAATGCCACAGTAATATAATCATGTGATAATCAAGTATAATCATTTGCTCATCAATCTATGCTAGCACACGAGTCGGAGTTGCATAATGCAACCTGTACGACATAACTGTGTATAATCAATACGCTCTAGTACTAAGATCACGTGAAGACTGGTGCCGAGGCGTGGTCACATACGAGTCAGAATTGCCTAATGCAATATGTACGATAAGACTAGCACCTAACTTAGATCCAAGGCGAGCGAATGGTGCGGATGTGAACATACACGTGAATGACTGGCCCTGGGTGAAATACTAACATCAAGGTGCAGTAGATGAGCATGTAAAAATATGTTTGAATGTCATGACAGTAATATCTCAACCATATAGCAGCATTTATCACAATCTAATATCACAATAACGATACTTGGCAATATAAGCGTAATAACGGAATAAATACGCATTTATGGAAACTATAACTATGTATAGATATAAAAACAAAATGCCCACTTATAGATGTGCAATCGAAACGAAGCCTCCGACCCTCGAGATACATTTCCCCTATTTGTGAAATTACTAATTAATTTAGTTTAATAACACATAAATGGAAACTTAAATAAAACTTCCGCAGATTGCTCAAACATAAGGTTTGAATATACGAAATTGATTTACTCGACATCACGGACCTACACAAATTGACAAAAGGTCAATGGGAGGCCGGACGTGCCACCACAAGTGGCTGCACCCACTCGCCTACGCGCCGAACACAAGGAAGCTACCCACACGTCCCACACGCCGCGAGTACCACGATACTTGCCTTCCCCATGAAGACCAACGATTTTGTAGGTTTTTGGTCCTACTTCCAAAGCTCCTAACGAGCTTGATTCTCAACCAAATTCAATTCTACAAAGACCCACTTGAAGCTAGGAATGTAAAGAATCGATCTATAATTACTGAAAGTTCAAATGTGGTCCGTGTTGTCCAGGAATTTGGCCTGAAAGTGGCCAAATGACCATGAATCCTAATTTCTAGAAATCTGGGAATTTCTTCCCAACTTTCTAAGTGAATGTCTAGTTCGATAGTTAACCAAACTCAGTGATTCAAAATCCATTCTGAAGTTAGGAATATAGAGAATAAGTCTATATCCATTCTCTACCCTTTTATTCTCATCCCTTTTCATCCCCTCCTCCCACACATTATTTTTTATCTTATTATCTCTATAAAAAAATCAATATAAGATGTTGACGTGGCTTAACCGTGACTGTTCAAATAGGAGGGGATGAAGGGGTAAAGAGATTAGGAGGGTAGAGAATCCTCCTCCCAGAAAATGTCTCCATATCTAATACAGTGTTTCTAACACTGATTGATTTGTACACACACGTGTACAAAAATACCCGTTATCCTCGTACTTTGACGGAGCGTAACTTTTTTTTGTTACAAGTATGTTTCAAGTCTAACATGCACTCACACGTTCATATCGACGAGTACAAATTAAGTACAAAACTATGAAAAATAATTAGTAGGCGAAAACAAAATCCACGTCAGATTACACGTTTCCCAAAAAGGGCAAAATCGTTCAAACACACCAAAGAAAAAGAAATTCCAGTGAAACGTAAGGACAAGTCGTCACAATAGGCTAGCAATAATGTGATTCAATTTCTTTATTTTTAAACACGTTCAAAACATCTTAAGAGGCGTGTAATGACGGTTATAACAAAAGTTTTTCACACGTGAATAACAATGTGATTAAATTAATTGTCAAATGATTTTTTTTTTTTTAACAAACGATATTATCTACACTAAGAGGGAGGAGTGGGCTAACAATAATGTGATTCAATCAATTATTTATTAAATATTATTTTTTCTATTCTTAATGTAAATTCTATAGAAACTGATTTTATTATGTGAATTCAGCTGTTTTAATTGTTTTATGAGAGGTTTCTTTTAGCATGATTTAAAATTGTTCATTTACTTCAAATATTTGACTTTCCTTTTGTCAATTTACGCATATAAATATATTTAAAACATGTAAGTTGCGTGTAGCACGTCATAATTCAAAAAATATCTTCTACACAAGATTAAGCGCGTGCATAAAAGCTAGTTGTACAATTAATCATGGAATTCAAGAGAACCTCCATCCCCCAATCTCCATAGATGTACTTTGACTTTGGCTTCCAATCCCAAGAGACAAATAGGCTTCTAGAGTTTCTGCTGTTTGAGGAAATTCCCAGTTTTATTCATTTTAAGTTTTAATCTTTATTTGTTTATGTATTATATTAGTTATAATTCATGTCATCGCTCCTATCATTTAATGAAGGGAGATTATATTCACACCTTAAATTACTTCTTTCATATTTTTTTAATTTTTTAATATTTTTCTATCAAGTGTTAGTGGTGTGTAGAAAATATTAAAAAATTAAAAATGTGTTGGAGAAGTAATTTAGGATGTGTGAATATAATCTTTCTTTAATGAATGATGATGTGAATTGTAATTTCAAAAGTGCAAAAGAAATGTCAAAATATTAACCCCCTGATCCTATCTCATAGATAAAATAGAAGTTTCTTTTTCAAGTAATGTTATTTAGGCTTCCTTATGTGTCTAGGATTGAATTAAAATAAACAACTTGTTCTATTAGATTTTTTATTTGGAGGGGATTGGGAATTAAGTGAATCACACATTAATGAAACTTATCCATTTTAATTAATTATTTTGAGGGGAATTTTTGTTTAACAAGCAACGATAGATTGGTATTTTATTAATCATCTCAAACAATACATAGGTGTCAATTGGGTACAATACTCCAGTGACTAAGAAAATGATCTAGAGATGAATTTGCTTAAGCAAGACAACAATAGTAAACCTCTAGATGGCTACCACATGTACGAAAATTTTACACGCCACCATAAAAACTGTCACAAAATGATAGATATAACAGATTTGTATCAGCAACTGCAAATGGTCACCACCGAATAGTAAGGCCACATAAAGTCATCGCAGAAGCGAGACCATATAGAGTCATTTTAGGTAGACGAGACCAAATAACACATCACTCAATACAAAAATCATATCCAGCCATATCATTGCAGCACAGCCACAACACTAGCTAGACATGACAACATAACTAAACTAAACTAAACCAAACCAAATTAAACTAAGCCAAACTAAACCAAACTACTATGGAACCACAAGTCAAAATAATTATATCTTACTTTCAATATTAGGTGGTATCTTATGATGCACATCATACACAATTTTATGAATCGAATTTAATATGGCATCATACGAAGAGTGAGGTCAGTAGAATTTATCTTCGTTCCTCGGGCTTGTAATAAGGCAGTACATCTAGTGACTTCGTTTGTAGTAAGGGAATGAGGCTTTCATAGTCAGTAAATTTATCTTTGCTCCTTGGACTTGTAACAAAGCATCACATCTAGTGGTAAAAGGAAGGGGGCTTTCATAGTTGGAATGGTTTTGAGCCTGAATGGTTGTTTAATACATTAACTTCTGATATAAACATCTCTATTCGAATTTAATAAAATTCTTTACCTCTGAGAAGAAAAAAAATATCGAATTTAATATCCAGCGTTATGATATTTTTATATACCAGTCTCTTAAATGGGAATCAAATCAACTGTTTGAGTATATTTAAATTTAAATAAAAAAAAATACATAAATGATAAATTCAAACAAATCTTTTATACGCCACTTAAATTTAAATCAAATAAGATACACAAATCCAAACAAAACTTTTATATGCTATTTAAATTTAAATCAAATAAGATACATAAATCAAAACAAATCTTTCATATGCTACCATCTACTTAAATATAATCTATTGTTTGAAACGTTACACAAATTTATACAAAAATATTTCTCACTTTCCCTGCCCTCAGTTTTCTTATCAATCCTGGTTTTCCTACACTAGTTGTTCTACCCTTCTTTGTTCCCTATCTTCTTCTATATCATCATTGTCAGCGTCAACGATAATAATCCCGTCTTCATCGTCATCTTCATACTCTTCGTCATCATACTCCATATCATCCTCTTCTTCTTCATCAGAATCTGTACCTCCACCGAGGGTGTGAAACTCGGGAGGAGCAGGGCAGTCTTCTGTGATTGCCTCATCCCTCTTAATAACAAGATGCCGAATGACTCTTTCATCCTTGTCTAGCATGGTCTTAAAGTCATTTATCCATTTGGCTTCCATCTCAAAGTTCATCAAAACGTAGTAAGCGTTCTTCGCTTTCTTTATTTGGTATGCTAGTCTTCGCATTCCCCAATTGCTCACTCTCCATATCCTGGCTTTCTTCTCCGCTAGAAACTCTGCAAGTAATTCATAGATAAACTTCAATATAACTTTGTCGATATATTTCAAATGCAGCTCAAAAGGGTAAGGGAACTTCATGCTACAAGAATTCCGATAAGTATAAGCCGCATCAGTAGAATAGAACGTTAGCAAGTTGCTATACAAATGTTCAATCTAAGCAATACTTATAGATAGATGAAATTCTATCAATTACAAGCTCACTTGCCATGTTAGGTGGAAAAAGAAATTATAACGTTAAAAACAAAAACAAAAAAGCTATCCATTCTTCAAATATGATTGCTAAAGTAAAACTGCTAAAGATTATTTCATGGGCAACCTAAATGTGACACCCTCACAGATCAACATGTAGCAGGGAAACCATTAACACTACAAAACATCCACACATCATCACAGCATTTTAACTTCTTTCGATCTCAACTTCTGTTTCGTGTTAGAAGACAAGTTTGAATACACCAAAATTCATGATGAACCTATCATATTTGTTTCAGTAATAACAGATACATTACAAAGGGAGTTAGAAGAGAAAATTTTGCCTGCATCAAAGTTCATTGCAAATCTATCGAACTTCACGGAGACATTACTAAGAGAGTTAGAAGTGAAAAACTAACCTTCAATTTTCTCTTTGACACTCCCAACCTCTTCGGCATGTTTCTCATGAATCAGATAAACCAGCTCATAGTGGCGCACTGTAACAAGGGAAACAATAAGTTATAACCAACCAACAATGGTTAAACACTAAATAATATTTTCCATTTGTTCTATGAACTATTAGAAGACAATTTCTTTCACCATTTTAATCAAACAAGTCAAACCAAGAGGCAATCCTACTAGCAAGAAAAATGAGCATGAACCGCACTTACTTCGTTCTTCATTCAAATCGCTTTGCAGCTGAAGCTTCAAAAATTCATACACCTTCTCTGCATAGAAATGAAAACAAAATCAATAACTGCAAGGCCCCAAATGATTCTTCGGAAAAAAGGGCAATCGCTATTCCTTTCGAAAAGCAGCAATCCGTTTGAATCATGATAGCTTACCTTCTTCGGCATCTGCAAACTCAGGGAGAACGTTACCATCTTCCTGGACTTTCTTCTGCAATTCATAACAAAGTCTCATCTCAAAACCATCCACAAATAAACTTAAGCAACCCAAAAAATCTTATCTTATCCACCTTCATTTAAATTTTTAAGAAAAATAAAATCTTTCAGAACGCAAGGCTCATACTTGAATGGTGAAACACAATAATTCCAAGAAACAAAACAAAGCAAAATAAATCCCTCAGAAGCCCACAATTTGAATGTATCAGAAACACGAATTTACTAACTTTAAATCCCAAATAACAAATTTTGAGCATTCTACAGCAGCCAAAAAGTAAAGGGTCGCACTCAAAAGTCTTTGAATTTCGGAAGCCGAAGTTACAAATAAAAAAAAATCATAAACCCAAAATAAAGAAGTGAAAAGGAGTAAAAGAAATATGGAGTTTGTGTAGAAATATAAACAAAAGGGAACCTGTTTAAGCAGCACAGATTCAGGGAAAGGCCCAGTGGCCTCATCCGGTTTCGATGCAAAGCTGTGGTTGTCTTCCTTCTTCTTCTCCTTGTTGCTGTTCTTCTTCGCAAAAACAATCACCGACCTTCTGACTCTTACTGGGAGCTTCTGAGCTGGAAATGGCCGACGAGAAGAAAACGAAGAGAATCCATTTGAGAATTGCAAGCTTGAATTTTGGTTTTTGGAGGAGGACCCATTTGTGCAGACCAGTTTTAGAGCCGTTGGAGTGAGAGAAGCTACAGAGAAGGAGTGTATGAGTGCCCCCATTGAAGCTGTTTCGGAGCAGAGAGAGACCCGGCGAGGATATGCGATTTGCGAAACAAGTGAAGGAGTTATATCTTGATGGTTAAATCCTGTCCGTCTGTAAGGTTGTCCTGGTCCACCGTTTGATTCATCTAGTTCTTCGTGATAGATATCCAACGGTCTAGTTAATTGGTTTTCCTTCTTTATCGATTTTGTTTTAATTCTTTTTCTTCTGACCTTTTAGGTTTTTTTCTTTATAAAACGGATGACTCATTATTTTAACTGAAAATATGACTTTAGTCTCTAAAATTTAATTTTCTCTATATAAAATTTGACATAAGTTTTTTTTCTTAAATAAAACTCATTGACTAGATTTCACATCAGCAAATTCATTGATTATGTTTGACACATTAAAAAAAATTCGGATGCCTAAATAACCTATTTGATTTTTTTTTTTTTATAAACCCTATTTGAATGTTTGATGTACAAAATTAATGTCATGCGGATGGATGGTAAAGGAGAATTAATGATTTTACAAAAAAAAAAAAAAAAAACATTAATGTTATAAATTCATTGCCTAATATATAATAACATAAAACATGTCTAATATATGTTATCATACATGCTTAATTAAGTCAATAAAATTATATTTTACATATTAATGTAGGTAAATTATTTCAGACACACATATATAAATGCCTGATATATGTAAAATTCATGCAAAATAATTTACCTACAAAAAAAAAAATTGATTCAAATAGTTCACCTACTATTAAATTTTTAAATGTTAGATTGCTTAAAAAAAGAAAAATAATATACCCAATATATGTAAAATACATGAAAAATAATTTACCTACATAATAATAAACCCACATATGCAAAATACATGCAAACTAATTTACCTTATAAATTCATCGTTTAATTTTCAAAAGAAACAATGTTTCTACTAGTTTTTTTTTTTTTCCAAAAATAAAGTACCTATTACTTAATTTTTACGAAAATTGTGTACCTATTGTGTTATTTAAAAAAAAATTACATATTGTTTTTTTTTAATGAAAATAATGTAACTATTGTTTAGTTTTTACAAGAAACAATGTATCTACTTGTTTATTTTTACCTTTTTTTTTTTTAATTTTCACAAGTTAATGTATCTACTTTTTCAATAGAATGTATATTGAACTAATTAGATTTGGATTAGGAGATTTCACATAAAAGAAGAAAAGAACCTTTTTTTTTTTTTTATTAGTTAAAAGCAAAAAAAAAACTTAAACTAATTGAATGTTGTTGACAAACAAAAGACAATAAGTTAAAAGTCATACAAAAAAAAACCGTAATAGCCATATTAATGTTGGTGGCATGGTGTTAATAAATTTAAATGTATGGACATATTTTATCTTACATGGCATCAAATTCAAAATTTGGGTTTTATCTAAAGGTTAAAAATTGTAAAGGGCTAATCTAAAACACGCTTATTTTAATCAACTGACCTTTGTCGATAAATAAATAAGGCTATAAGAATATAACAATATTGCATTAGCCAAACCCCAATGACATAACTAAATCCGAGGCGGAACTTAAAATTTTCACTGAGGTGGAATATAACTTCTTTTTTTTTTTTTTTTTTTCCATCTATGATCAGTTAGGATGAAAGGAACGAATTTTGCTTGGTGAGATAGGCTAATTTTTAAAAAGCACAGTTAAATTTTGAAACGCTAATAACAATTCTCTTATTTGTCCAAAAAAATTGTACTGAACGGTAGCTCAACCCAGTCTAAGCATAGTTTCGCCCTTGCGAACCCAATGTACAAAACAGGTCGTTTTTCAAGTCCAAAATTTGACTAGCAACAAGGGCGGATTAGCATCAAGACATTTCAATCTCCATTGCCACCCTAATTAGGTGCCCTGTCAAGAATCCAATTCAAATCGAGCCACTGGAGATCGAAAAACCAATTCCGACACCACAATTTCAAAGCTGAACCACCAAACTGATCATATCGGGAGCATAACAAGGAGTAAATCGACTCTGTCGCGGGTTATCATATTTGTTAGGGTTCATCCCATGAGGTAAATAGCTAACCATCAGATTACATGGTTTCATAAACTCCATATGCATAGTAATGCACTGCCCAACATCACTTGCTTTTTCATCACTCCTTGCGTCCAACCAGTTCCTCTCCCTACACAAGCCCAAGTGCAAAATGTAGGCAGTGCAACAACATTATTGCCTTGACCTGCCACGAAAATGTAAACTACCCTAATTTTGGCAGCTCGAATTTTCTTATAGCGGTCTACGGTCTTGTGAAAATGGGGAAATAATGGAAGAAATGAAGACGATTAAGAATGATGAGACGGTATACAAACTCTCTGGTGTTGCAGACTAATGGTGATTGGATTCTATACTTATGATTAATGATGTCAAACTTTCCTCAGGCATTCTTTTCTGAAAAAAAAAAAAAAGAAAATAAAAACAACAGGCCAACATTGAACATATGAACTTTCTTCTCAGGAATCAGCATCACTAATGCTTGGATAGTGCGAAACAAACGGGAACAACTTGGATACTCACCATTTCTTTCCCTTTTTCTTTCTCTTGTTAGCACTGCCACTGGTGCTGCCACCACTCTTGGTACCAGGTCCAGATTTGGCAGATGGGCTCTCAGTGGAGGTGCCGGTACCAAAATTTTCAAACATGCCAGTTTGCACTGCATTCTGTAACCACTCGAAGAATTCTTCCTCTGTCATGTTCTCTTCCAAGTTCGATGTTGGCATCTGACCTCCTCTTTGCCCCGAACTTGTTCCCTTTCCAGTATTATGCTTAGAGGTCACACTAGTGTTAACATGAAAACTTGGCTTGTGAGTGTTGGCTGGACATCTCATTCCCTACAACAAAATTTAGCTTCATGCACATCTGCTTTCAATGTGACAAAAACTGTGTGTGGATGCAGAAGGCGGCATGAGTGTTATTCTAAAGGAAAAAGAATATCCACGATAAACTTAGTAAAATAGTTCAAATTGAATTACCTGGCAAATATACCACTCAGTAGCATTGTATATCTTGCTATCCGCACAAACAAATGCGGATGGAGCATCTATCTGCACATACAACATTGTTTAAAAAAAGGATGATCTTGCATTACGTAAATTTCGGCAAACTATAATTGCACTGGTGATAGTTCTTTTTTATTCTCTTTTAACGCAAAATTCTAAAGCAACCTTTCTCCAGCATATATAAATGCACATACTTTCTGCAACATTCCAAAGAAGAAGGGTTGGGAAGATTGTTCAACCCACCCATCACCATCTTTTGCTTGATGAAAATCTTTGCAATCCTTTCAAAAGAGAAATTCCACAAAGAGGAGTACATTAGCACCAGGCGAAAAAATCTCTAACAGCATCATCTTTAAAGATGCAAACTAATAGAACATCATTAAACGCTTAAAGGTAAACGAAAACCTGGCACCATCGTGCTTGAGATTTTGATTTCCTGGTGAGCACCCAGACATGAAAATTGCCGCACTTATTGCAGGCGATTCTCCTTGAATCCCCAAATGGGTCTTCACCATCAGCTTCCGGGTGTGCAAATCCAGGGGGAAAGACACCGTGCCCTCCATTCTAGGAAACACATTGCAATATTAGGTAAGGCGGAAAAACTTAGAACACGTAATACTTGACATCCCTCAGAACTATATTCAGTAAATGAACAACTAATTCCTAGCAGAAGCCATAGCAAAGGGATGTATCCAAAACAACATAAGCTTCTACTAACAATTCCAAAGTAAATCACAAAGTTGAATGAAAGGATCCCGGGAGCCGACTGACAGGCTTCACTGTCAATTATCAACCCCTTCTTACATTCCTCATGGATATGGAAGAGATTGGTCAAAAAATTTTGAATTCTAAAACCAATTACAAGAAAGCATAAAAATTAGATATATATTACCTTTTGTGAAGTACTTTGAAATCTACAGAAAATGTTCAGCAGTTCCTCTCTCCTTAATTCGTCGTCATATGTTTTTCGCTTCAAGGAATCAAGCAAAATCTAGAAAATATGGGAGCAAAAAGGGCCAGTGGTACAATCAGAACCATAATCAAATCGATCATAGAAAAAATCTCAATGGACATCAAATGATCACCTCATATGCATTCTGAAGTTTCTTGAAAGCTTCAGCAGCTTTTTCGTTTCCCATATTTTTATCAGGATGGACCAACATTGCCTGATAAGAAATATAACAAACTTGTTAAAGAAAAAGAAATATATTAGCAGAACAGTATAGCCTGTTATCCAGAAGCAGTACTTCTACATATGTAGACGAATCTTCGGAAAGATAAAAGTCATCATTCACTAAACAAAGTTAGATCTCAGACTCAATGCTTGGCCATACAAATCTTGAAACTTCCAAGAGAATAACATAACAAGAAACAACAAAGAAGTCAGGAAAAGATCCCTTTTCATGCTTATTAGAGCAAAGAAAGAATGGTACTTACCTTTTTCTTGTACTCCCGCTTCAGTAAAGAAACATCTATATTTTCGTATCGAGAAAATCCCAACGCGGAATAGTGATCAGTACAGTTTAACAGCCGAACAACTTCATCTTCAGAGGTTATCTCAGAATCAGTGCTACTGGTTGAGGGTACTCCTTGGCTACGATCGGCAGAAAACAATGGAACATTTTCAGAGGATGAAGCATGTGCCTGCTCACTGGTAAAGAAGTCTGGTTGACCTGGAATTCCAGATGTTTGTTCAGGGGATCCGTTGGGTCTTCTCTGCTGATTTACGTTGTACTTTAGGAAATATATCAGACAATCACTTGAGATAAAAGATAAATTCAACCCCAAAAGCAAACCCAGCCATCCAACATATGTCCAAGCACAATAAATTGAATACACAGTGGCAATGGACAGGGCAATACGCTCATGGCTCAGTGTGAATGCCAAACCTGAATGTCAAAGAATGTCAAAGCTCAGCAAGCTGTGATGAAGAAATATGCATACTTGAAAATTGAAATAGATGATCTGCACTTGAAAGGAGGTAAAAGAATCACCTCCTAAGAAGATTGCAAATCCTGTTGTCCAAAAGCTTCCATAGAACCACAACAAAAGAGCTCCACAAAAAGCAACCACCAAAATCGAGAGCATGAACCCAACGAAAAGTCCAATTAAAGCAGCAAAGACCTGGGAGTTTATTCAATATGTATGAGAGCATACTAATGCAAACTTTAACAGATACTCTTAAACTCACCCATCCGCCTCACCCATTGCAAAAAACAGATAACTATTCATAAGGAAACATACATAAAAGTCTGGACGTTCAACAAGTGAGAAGTAAACATTAGGAACCAGGGAGGTTTAAAAGGACAAAGGGACTCAAAACAGGTGCATTTTGCTGGGAAAAAACAAGTAGAAAAAATAAAGCCACCTATAATTATAAACATCCCAGCCAAAGAGACTGTAAGTTATAATGAGGTGAGTCGTCCGTAGCAATGTAGCAATACTAGGGCTTACCAATACAATCAGAAACTTGAACATCCCGGCCATAGCAACTACTGAGAGAATGCTGCACCATACAACTGAAAAGAAGGATGTTGTTCCCATCCGAGCTAAGCTATCAATGCCCCTTACGGTACAATCCAACCAGGCCATTGATAAAAGAAACAATATACCCCCCAACTGCATAAGCCACTTCAAAACAATTGGATATGCCTGCTCAAACTTTGTTTTGACATAATCACGGGCACATAGTGCCGTACTTTTTACGGTAAGAAACATTGGCTCGTGCCTCTGCAACCATTCACTAGCCATCTTCAAGAATGGCAAAGCTGATGCCTTCAAGTTTCTAAACAATCGGGTATCTGAAAACTCTAACCGAGCCATCAAAGCTCTCATATGCCATCTATTCAGGGAGGAACCAGATTTTTTTTTTGTATGTTTTCGGCGTAAGTGGCTCGGAGGTAATATCCCATTTTCTTCTCTCATGCTTGGAGCTTCATTGTTTCCATTGCAATCTCCTGAATCACTCCGTAAAGGACTTGATTCCTCTGGACCCTGCATTACATCCATACCTTGCTTCTCTTTCCTCAAAGACTTTCCAGATTTTTGTTTGCTTTTATTCTCCTCCACAGGATGATTGGTTTTACTCGAACTGGCTGAAAGAGGACTGCTTGGCTGGTCACCATTTGGCAGTTCTTCTCCAGGGAAAACTTTCACCTCACTTGCTTTCCCATGCCCTTTCGTTTCTCCTAGTGTACACCCTGAATCTGGACCCTTCTTTTTGTGCCTTGATGTCTGGCGATCTACAGCATTCTTCTGTTGGTTACCCTTCCGAGCCATAGGGTAAAAGACCTTAACGTACTGTAAGCTAAGTCAAGCTAGACGACTTACAATCGATTCAAAGCAGCCATTCCAGAAATACAATCTGAAAATAAAAAACAAACAGTCACAAGGATGCATGTATACATAAAATCAAAACTTTTTGTAAGGTACTTCCACGAATATACGACTCTTCATAAATCATCACATATCAGACAAGAATTTGTTTTAATAAATTGATTACCAAACAGAAAAATGGCAATGCATATATAAGTAAAAATCTAAACTTCCCAACTTTGCTGATAACAGGACCTTTACTTAGAAAACTATTAAAGAGTAGAATTAGCATTTAGCAATGGAAAAGGGGTCGTGGATGGTGGACCCCATATATCAATATTGGGTAATCTGCATAACTTGTGAGGTGTGAATTAAAACAAAAACCCAAGAATTTCAATCTAACAAATAACCAAACTTACATTGTTCATTTCGCAAGAAACAAAATTCTCAGGAAGAAACACATAATACACCGTATTGTATCAACTTATCACCCACGAATCGATATAAATTTCAATTTAAAAGTAAAAATCGAAAAACCCCAACTGAGGTTTAAATCCCCAAATGTCAGAAAAATGATCAAACCCCATTTCCAACAATTCAGTAATCCCAACACACCAAACAAAAATTCGATGAAATCAATAAAATTGAGCAGACCCCATATCATAAAACCACTGGAAATCAACATGGAGAGATTGATACGGACACACCTGGAGCTCTGAGGCACACAGGGATCACTGAGAGAAGAAAATCATACCATAGAGCATCAAAGCGGGATGTTTGGCGAATTGGGTTCTTCTGGACATGGAGGACCTGAGCATCCAGTAATCAATCAGCAATCAGCAAGCAATCCAAATGTCACAGTTTTTTTGGGTCTGCGAAAAAAGGACAGAGAAGCACTCATGAAGAAGCTCTAAAGCCGAAGGAGGTTTTCTCTGTGTGCGTCTCTCTCTCTCATCCGAGACGTTGAATTGGGGTCTGGTTGGCTGACTGGATTTCTTTGTTCCGAATCCGGATTGGACATCGCCGCAGATTAACAGTTGTCGTGCCGCTGGACTACGCAGAGCTCGGGGTCCCACGTGTCCTTTATTTATTCGATTCCCTTTTTGTCTAAAGCCCATTAAAATGAAAAAAGGCCTTAAAGTTTTCTTTCGGTGTGGTATGACCGTGTGGGCCTTGAAACCAAACTTCCACTGGATGATTGCTCTACAAGTGCTTTTTGATTATGTATAGAGAAAATTTTTAGGATAAATTATACTTTCGTACATCAGGTTTGAGATCTATTTCAATTCCTTACAACATCTTCAAACATTTTACTTTCATACCTTAAATACTATTTTATTTCAAAATAATACCTCCGTTACATTTTTCATCCATTGATCCTTTAAATGCTGACGTGGCTGCCAAATGTATTACACTTGGTAAAAAAAATATTAAATTTTTTTTTAAAAAAAAAAAACCTTAATCTTCAAAAAAATATAAAATAAAATCAAAATCAAAAGCTACAACACATCCCTCAACCAACCCCGCCCATTATTCCTTCCGCCCCTGTCCCCCCTGGCGCGTGAACGACCCACTCAAACCCACCTTCCTCTATGACCCACCACACCCAAAAACCAACCCTCTTCTACACATCCCACTCATTAAATCCACACCTATTGGGAGGATCTAGGTTGCAGGGAAAGGAGATGGGTTTTTTTTTTTTTTTTCTTTTATTTGCTAGGTTGCAGGTAGTGGGTGCGGAGGAGGAGGAGGAGGTGGAGGATGGGTGCACAGTGGGTTTGGGGAAGACGGGAGGGAGAAGAAATGGGTGGTTTTTATTCTTTATTTTTTCTTCTTCTGGGTTGTGGGTTTTTTTTTGGGGGGGGGGGGGGGGGGGATGGGGATGGGAAGATGGGTGCGCGAAGGATGGGGTGGGAGTGGTTTTGGGTTTGGGTTGCAAGGAGGGACAATGAATGGGGATGATGATGAAGGGGATGGGGTTTCGGCAGCGCTCAGGGTGGGGGGGGGGGGGGGGGGATTAATGGGTTTTGGTTTTGGGGGGAAGGAATAATGGGCAGGGTGGGTTGTAGGGATGTGTTGCAGCTTTTGATTTTTTTTTTTTTTTTTTTTGGAAGAATAAGGTTTAAAAAAAAAAAAATTTTGCCACGTGTAATACATCTGGCAGCCATATCGGCACTTAACGGATCAATAGATGGAAAATGTAACGGAGGTATTATTTTGAAATAAAACAATACTTAAGGTATGAAAGTGAAATGTTTTGAAGATATTGTAAGGAATTGAAATAGACCTCAAACTTAAGGTATGAAAGTGTATTTTATCCAAAATTTTAAAATGCGTTTGAGTCATGGAAGTGTTTCTTGGGATATGCCTCTTGAAAACTTCAACATGGTTATTATGAGAGCCCTTCGAGTAGATTCTCTTATGAGTAAAAGTGCTTTATGGAAAAGCAATTTCAAGCAAGTCTGAAAATAAATCATTTTTGTTTTGTGCATTATGCTTTAGCACTTTCACGAGAATATTTCCAATTGTATGCAAGTTTCTCCCATAAAGACGAGATATACAATTGTGTATCCTTAAGTTTGTGAATCTGATAGATTATTTTGGAACAACTGTAGTAGTGACCAGCCAAAGCAGTAACATGAGCTGCCAGCACTAATGCAACAAATTCGTGCTCCCCACAACTTAGAGGTCGCAAATCAACTCATTGGTTGTTAGTGGATACTCGTTAAGACCTTTTTAATTTGATATCACCATAATATAAATGTGAGATTGATAGTTATGATAATATTGTAACGTGAAAAAAGCAAAGGTAAGTGATTTTCAGATACTCATTTCCTTCCCCTTCGCACCGCTGTTTATTTCTAGCCCTCGAATTAAAGCAATCATATGAGAACCAATGCATAGGAATAAACAAGAACAAGAGTGCATATGAGCAAGGGGTCCCATACTCAAATTGATGAAAACAAGTAGAAGATAATATGCCACGACCAAAAGCATAGGATTATTTATACTGCATAAGTCAAATGTTGATAGCTGTTGACAAACCCCAACGGCCAAACATATACAGATAATTAACATAGGAAATCCATGTACAGAACAAGTGCATGACATGTAGTTTCACATCTTACTGACAAGACAAAATCGTGCTCCGAAATGCATGTGCCGAGTACCACAACGGGAGTGTAGAGCTGTTCTTCACAGAGTACATCTCTTTCCACACACGAGTCTTGCGATAAAATACCAATATCTGCTTGTGGGTTGCCAAGAAAACGCATTCACCAGTCTGACATATGGGGAAGATGCCCGGCACAAGTCCTTTGATACATCGAAGACTCACCGTATCCACCAAATGCCACTCCTCTCTCCCGTAACCTTTCAACACCCAAATTTTCATCCAAGCATCTGAAATCTGGATCACCGACAGGCAACCATCTGACTCCAACAAGTAAAACCTATTTCCGGACACACAGGTCACTTGTTCCGGCAATGACATCTTCCTCCAAACATCAAACTCCAAATCGAGCACGAGAATACAGGAACTACCAGTCAACCAATGAAGTGCACCATTAACAAACACGACTTGGCTCTTATTCATATGGGTGAACTGATCATCCTGAAACGAAACAAACTTCCTCCATTTGCCCGACTCAGAATCAAATATCATACATACAAAAGTTCCATTCGGCCTATGACCAAAAGTCCGATGGTAGCCCGCTAAAACAACATTAAACTTCTGAGTGGACAAATTGCAAGCCAATCCCACCAGGGTTGCCTCACCATCAGGGTAAAATCGGGTCACATGGCGCTCCCTACTCTTCGGAAGCAACCTGAACTCCCGAGTAATGGGATTACAAACATAGTAAACACCCTTATCAGGAATGCTAGAGCAACACAACAAGCCATTACAGGATGCTCTGACCTTAACCCTATCCCTCAAGAAATCTAATGAAAATTCGGAAACACCCCTCCGATTATCCACGACAATCAAATCGGATTTCGATCCCGACGAATCCGAAACCTCAACCAATAACGTAGGGTTCTTAGCAGACGTCTCATTGTACAATTGAATGAAATACTTATCGGAAACCAATCTGTACCAAAGTTTACAAACAGTTTTGCTCCTGAACAGCGACTTAATGGGTAGTTTTGAGAGGATTTGGAGGACGACTTCGTCCGGGAAAAAACCACATCTTTGGGGTTTCATGATCAAATTCCAATAAATATGAACAGAATTCAAATTACCCAGATGACTAAATTACGAAAAGGGTATGGAAATCGCTTACCGGGTGAAAAATTCGAGATGGTGTTTGATCGAACGCAGTCTGATGCATCGAGATGAAGTGGGATCTCACTTCTGAGTTTCCGAGTTCGCCATTTTTTACTTTCACAGAGGAGTTATGAGCAAACGAATTGTAAACGTTGATAAAAGGTTGGATCTTTGATCCATAATTTGGGGGGACAAAAAGGGGATTGGAATTAAATTAGGGATTTTGATTTTTGAGAATCGAGAAATCGAGAGTTGGAAGAAAATTGAAGGTGCTTAATAGAATTTGACCAGATTGATGGGCTTTGTGGGCTCTAATCAAGTTGGTTAATCGCAATGGGCCACCGATGACGAGGAGGTTATCCAAGAAATGTTTTGCGCCAACAGGCTGAACCCAAGTGATCCACATATACCCTTTTTACCTTTCACTCACACTTCTTAAATTTCGGCCGACGAATTAGATGAGTTGTAAAAAATCAAAAGACATAATTAGTAATAGGTGTATGAGAGGTTAAAAGAGGTGCGTAGATATTATTACCCTAATTACATTATTATTTATTTTAAATTCTAAAATACGTTGAGAGATTCACAATGGAGATAGTGAGCGTCAAAACCCAAATCTTATTTTCTTCAATCATGAGACATGATGAGAATTGTTCCTCATGTTTGCAGGTACCTATTGCCAAACGAAGAAATGGCCAAAATGGCTTAACCATTTCGTTTTTAGTTTTCAGTTTGTATTCACTTTTTTGAAATATGACAATTGGAATCTTGTTTGACAACAAAAGGTTGAAAACAAAATGATTATCAAACGATCCTTAATAAACCACAAGTTGATCTCATACAGGTATTAGGAAAACATTCACAAACAGAACAAGTGACAATTTTTTAACTAAAAATAGGGTTAGAGACATTAAAGGGACAGTAACCCGTACACAACCACAGTTTAGTGCGTCCGTATTGTCTGTTTAGAGACCCTCTAGTTCAATTTTTTATTTATAACGTGTTCTATTTGCGCATATGTCCCTGACATTGTAGTAGCAGAAAATAACTTCGGTACTATCGTGGGATTACAAGCAATCAGACATTCCTAACAATCCTTATATGTGTTGCAGAGGAATGACAAGGTCATATGATCGAAGAAGACTATCTATTATCTGAGTTTCCGAAAATCTTGTTATTAGCTATAAATCCAAAGACGTCGGAAGTGTCAAAGAACCATGGAAAATGGTAATTTTCATCACTATTTACTTGTACCTTTGTTACCCTGCTGAACATTGGCATAGTTTTCTGCATCTTCAGCTCTGCATCCCAACTCACCTGAATTTTCCTGCATTTTATCATTCAAGACACTCAGTGCATGTTCCGGCAACCAAACAATGAAATTCATGAGCATGATCGAGGACCGTTAAATTTGATAAATCTATGGATTAAGGCACTCTCCAGAACATTTTAATACAACAGTTGTTAGTAGACGAGCTAAATCTATTTTTATACATTAACAATCGAAGAAGCGCTACGAAGTACATAGTCGATAAGTCTCCTTTGCTTCTTTCTTTTTCCTATTTCCTTATGTCAGCGAACTCTTCGTGATCATGTCCGTTTTAGGTCACCTGTACAGCAAAAATAAGGAATCTAATTAGAGATCCTCAATTGTAGAGTCTCTTTAACGGTGCAAGGGCAACTGATGTCAAAATTTAAATCTATTTTTCAGTGAGAACAAGCTTCCAATAAGTAATGCTTTCTCATTTCTTGCCATCCAAGCAAAAACAGAAAGCAAAAGTGCAAAGACATTGCAAAAGGTTTTGAAATGTACAGTAAATAAAAGCTTTTGGAAGTCATACCATTTAAGCAGGGATCCATTGTCCGTTAATCCAGTCCTGTCGAGGCCTCAAATTGGAATGTTCAAACATTAATTCTTCATTGGTGGAGCTGAAATAGACAACATACATTAAGCCGCCAAGAACTTTGGAAACGGTGCCCTCCCACCATCCCTCATTGTACCAAGCATCGACTTTCTGGAGCACTTTGAAATGAGCAACCGATGGAAGTGCAGGAGGACAAGGTCTAATATAACTTGCACATGCTTCTTCTCTCAAGGGATCCCTTGTCCCGTCATCCGTTACCAGGTACAGGTATTCCACCAGATACTTGTTATTTCCTACATGATCAATTATTTTAGCAGTGTACCAAGCATCCTTGTAGCCTTCCTCGTCGCTGCTGACCTCCACCACAGTCCCGTTTTCAAAGCTTGCTCCCAATGGTTTCTTGCCGCACTTAAATTTCAATATTAACTTTCTAGATTTCACCACCATCCCAGACGAACTATTCTGCAATTCAAGTTTTCAAAACCTGAGTACACATTCAAAACCGAGAAAGCTGTACATTGTACAAGAACAATTACCCAGAAACGCATAACTAGAAAATGTATTCATGGAAGACATTGGCAACCACTGAATCACCAGAACATCAAAAACAGAAAGCAAACACCATAAATCGCTTACACAAAGCTGCACCAAACGAAAGATTAATATATAATTATATACACATAATCACTTTTTACAAAGCAAACCATAAAATAATGACTTATGATTGAAAATTAATATTCTAATTTGATGTCAACCACTTGCACCAAGAATCTACCTTGAACAATTGTATACTATAATATAGTACAGAATTTGGTTTAAGTCGATAAATAATTTTGTATTTTGGCATAAGTCAATGGATACATCCTCTTCAACTAAGATTAAAGCCACTTGGCTGACCTCTCGCTGAAAGCACAAAATGTTGATTTGACTTAATCGCAATATCGAAAACATGTTTTGACCTCGAAGGAAACATCACTTTTGTCATAAATTTCACAGGCGATTCTTTTTCCTATTGAAACCATGGAGAAATAATAATCTTACTATAGCATATATGTTTGGTGATTGTGAACATTTCTACCTACTATCTCAAAAAATGTCCCAATCATATCAAACAAAATTAAACCCATTGCAAATAAATTCATACAGAAAATAATCAAAAAATAATACCTATTAATTAAAAAAAATTATATAAAAAAAAAATCAAAGAAAAAGACCTCTTCTTGAAAAGGAGGGACCCAAGAGCCATCATCCCAGTCTCTGTGAATCCTCAAATCACACTGCTCGCACTCAAATTCCTCACCCCGCAGCGCAACTAAGTACTTGGAGTTCTCCAGAATGTCCGTCACAGTCCCGCGAGACCACCCATTTTCTCTGTAGGCGTCGACGTCGTCGCCCACCTTGAAGAACTGGTAGAGCTCCCTCGGCGGTGCGGGCCTCACATTGCCTAATTCGACTATCTCCTGGAGGAGTCTGGGGCTGACGGCGTTGGGGGTCGTCAGGGTTTGGTACTGGACTAAAATGTGGGCCTTGTCCTTGACCACGGGGCGGCGCACCGTCGCGGGGTAGTACGGCCCGGTGGAACCGCGGGAGGGCTTCGTGACGACCTCGACTTCGTCGCCCTTGCTGAAATGGGTCTGCGACATTTGGGAATCGGAAACCCTAGCAGCCGGGAGAAGGGAGTAGAGCGGTGGAGTGGCGGAGCGGTGGAGTGGTGGAGTGGCGATCATAAATACATGGCGGGAGGGTGCTGGTGGTGGTAAATGCGGTGCAGAGTTGAACCAATAGGATCGTCGAATCCGAGGGAAGGTGGATCGTTAGCGGTCGCCAAAACGATGTCGTTTCGTAACGTGACAGCCTTTCTTCGTTCTTTTCCAAATAATTCTTTACTCGTTGATACTTAATATTACGATATGATGGTATTCATCTTCACTTGAAAGTGATATATCTTAGATTTAAATCTTGTAGATGAGAAATTTGATACTAATTTAGCCTGTCTATTATGTGATCTTGCCGAACTCCTCATCCCCTTAGTGTAAAAATTATCAACGTACTGAAAAAAAATAGTGGCGAAGTCAAAATTTACAACTACGAAGTCAAAAAATAGCTCTAAGAAATTGATAGTAATTTTATTTATAGTTATCCATGATATGTTCTAATATTTTAGAAACGCCTATCAAAACATATTTTTCAATGCATACAATATGAAAATTGATGGTTTCGAGGTTGAAACAATTGTTTATGTAAATAAGCTCTTCGAACTTGATCTCTAATATTTAGATCATATTTTAATATCCAAAGGTGAAGTCTAGGATCTCTAGGAAGATTTGCTAGTATACTTTCTATGTTACCCTTAGTTAAACTTTGAATATTCGTTGTAGAGAATGAAAGAGTATCTTATGTTGATTTTCTCTTAAAATACCTTCCCATAATTGTTTTAAATAATACAAAGAATAAATAGTAACATAACACAAGATCGATCAAATTAGACCACTGACTCAACCAAAACTAAAAGCAATTAAAAAAGAACCTAAATCGACACTTCAATCTTCAGCTCGTTATCATATTTATATAAAGCCAAATCTTCAAGCCATCTAGATCGAATGATCAGAAACCATATACAGCCAACTTCCGGTTACTACATATAAATTCAATTGAAAAGTTCCAGTAAAAAGGCAGACTAAATTAACTAGTAGAATTGAGTGAAACCCTAGAAACCCAAATAAATTTAAGATGAAAAAATTGTGGGCAAAGGACTATTTACTACCATCATGTTTCGTGGTTTTCAACATTTAATACATTAAGTTTTTTTTTCGTCTCAGAGTCATACCTAAAGTGTTAATTTCGGGACAGTTTCATACATCCATTAGTCTGGCTGTTAAGTCTTCCGTTAACTGATGACGTGGTGCCTATATGGATAATGATTGGACGTCACGTGTCATTTAAGGGTTCATGTGAAAATTAAAAATTAAAAAAAATAATTTTTTTATCCCCTTTCTAACCCTAAGTATCAGGCCCCAAAATATTTTTCTTTTCTTTGTTGGGCTTCTCCTCACCCCCACGATCCCCTCCCTCCGCCATCGCCACCGGTTCAACCGTCGCAGCTGCCTCAGGCCTCCACCTCCTGCGACCGCCACTCGGAAGAGCATTTCATAGGCTTTTGCCCCTCACGCCTCTGTGAACGCCATCGGAAGGCTTATATTTCTTTTGCGAGCCTTCGTCATCACAAAGTTGATCTCCTCCATAGTCTTCCCATGTTTCCCGCGGTTCTTTGTCGCTAAAGAGGTCTTCCACATGCACAAAGTTGTTGTATAGCAGCATTAGAGGCTCTCTCTTGACCACCATCGTGTAGAGAAAGAACCGGATGATTTCTTGGTCGGAGGGGCGGAAGCGGAAGCCCACCGGTGCATGTGGATTAGCCATGACTAACTCAAGATTAGTAAAGCAGTTGATCTTGTTAATCTCTATAGGTTTTCTTAAGCTTTTGTGGAATAGGAGGGCGTGACATGAATGATATTCATAAGGAGTGAGTTCTTATAGGAATATGATAGAGATTTCAAAACTACTTAGGACTAGAAAATAGCAATGCTTTTGAAGACTGAAATTAGAATTCATATTGAATTTGAACCTAACAAGGGATATGGTTTCCTTTTCAAATGAGGAAATTAATATTTCTGGCCTAGGTTTTTTTTTTCTTTCCCTACAATACTATATACTATTATGAATGTTTTAACTTGCGAAGAGAAAGTTCGACTCGCACGAAGGTAAAGAGGCGGGTATATTGTCTTTGCATCGAAACTTTCATTGTCTGTGGAAAAGGGCACTTATATATTAGGAAGGATATAATACTTTGTGTTCCTCTCTTGGGAGGATGAACTCATTCCTATCACTTGCAAATAACGTTTTTTTACGATAGAAAATTCATAATCGAAACTGTTCAATTTCTTAATCCTAATTTGAAGATCATCCCCACAAAATAAACATTAGAAACGATGTTTGTTTAGTCATCCAAATATATTAAATAAATAGACGGTTCATCATACATATGTTATTTGGTTCCTACCTGTTGACTTATTTGACACATTAAACTAAAGTGACTAAACGAACAACTATTCGAATGATTTTATGTGTGGACGAACTTCAAAGAAAGATTAAGAAAAATTTCTACAATAAAAGTATGTTATTTACAAGGACTGGAACAAGCTTATTCTACGACTTGAAATAAACGAAGTCGGTATAAGAGGAAATGCCAATCCTCCGGCTGCTTTGGAAGCCCAAGTCTCTTATTTAGGTTTAGCCGGAATGACTTGGGGCTTTTTCTCTAAGCCTAAAATTTTAAAAGGCCCCAAGTCTTAAGACAACCAAATACTGCAAGCCTTTTACAGTTCTCAATAACCATGATTAAAAAAAAAAAAATTCCAATAATTTTTTTTGGGTAAAAATAATGAATAATGCTATTCACACATTTATTTTTATTTTCTACACACTCTTATTAATTATTTATCATTGATTTTCTCATATTATTCAATCCAATGACTAAAATTTAAAAAAAGTGTATAGAAAGATAAGTCTATGGATAACATTATCCAAAATTAAATACAATAAAATACTTTCCTCTTAGAAAGTCAGGGCCTTAATTGACCACTCGCTTTTTATGAAATTGTAAAGCATACCTGAAATTTGCTTCTATGCATTATTGAAATGTCATTTCCCTACTTTTTGCAAGTGGCTTTTATTTATTTTTTCTATTTTACACAAAAATACTTTTACTAAAAAATATTTAGATTCTACTGTAATCAATTGGTAATATTAAGAATAGTTTAACTTATTGCAAGTGGCCCTCTACCGTCGTGATAGAAAGGAGTGTTGCCTTTACACTATGACGTGGGTTCGAACTTGATCGGCTCCCTAATCTAACATTTAATCTGACAAATCGATTGTTAGACCCAAAAAAAAAAAAAAAAAAAGAGTAGTCTAACTTACATATAAACCTTTGCAAGGTGATGTGTCCCCACACACCATGCGGCAAATTTTCAAGCTAAGCACGTAGATAACACAGATTGGGTGAGGCAGAGCACATATGGCCTTTCGGTAACATACGTGGATCAACCTACTTTAGTACCATAAAGAATGTTAAGATTTTAATATAAAACCAATTGACAATATGAAAAGTAATCCAACTTATTTGTCAAGTTGACATGTAATACTTTTCACCAGTCTTCGAAGATATGATTTAAGAGGAAGGAGGAAAAAAATTAAACCACGGAGAAGAGCCATGCATGTTAGCATGTCACCAAAAGGAGGGGAAAAGCTTGGAAGAAATGGACCCCATGCTGGTAAAACCCAACGGAAAGAGTCTCAAGTGGGATATGAAGGACATAATGAGATTTTGCCCCTGTCGAGTTTTCTTTCGACTCGGTCACACTCAGCCCTAATAAGTCATGGAGAAGGTTAAAAGGAATTTAGCTTTTCAATTCCCACTTGTGGACATCATCATTTTGTACAAGTAGTCACCACCACCCTCTCTCACCCTCCTCTTAGCATGTAAAAAACTATGCCAACCAACAATTACTACCAAATTTTGCTTCGATCTTAGAATTATTTTTTACTGTTAAATGCAGCACTAACTTGGTAAAATTCAATTTCATTCATCATTTTATTTAGGTAGTTTTAACGAAACATTCTCGGTACTGTTCACTTTTAACGAAAAATCACATTTTTACCTTTCCTGATACTATTCACATACACCTTTATTTGTTCTTTTTCATTAAAACAAAAGTATTTTTGAATTTTTCGTTAGTTTTCTTTTTTATTTATGTATCCAACTACTTTTTGTTTATATTTTAGATTTTTTCGTTCTTTTATTTGCTTGAATTTCACTTAAAAAAGCGTAAACAACAAGAGTGTGTTGACGTGTTTAGAGTTAGAGTGAAAAAGAGCTAGAGCGATCGAGTAGAAGTTGGAATTGAACAAAAATCATGATTAGAACGTCCCTCACACTTTCCAATTAATGATTCTCGCTTGTGCAAGATTGAAAATTAACGACAAAATGCATTGCGAGAATTAAGAAGTGCTGCACATTGAGAATTCAAACTTGTAAATTATTTCAATATTAGAAATACTATTAAATTCATCATGATGTAATTGGCGAGAGAAGTAGAAAGAGATTCGAATTTGAGAAATTCTTTCAATATTAGAAAGAGAAAATCCTACCCACCTTAATTAGTTCCTGGTCAAATCACTGATTTGAACTCATCTGGATTCACAGATTAATTCAAATTTTTATGCACTTGGAGTCAATGTCATCATAGTTTAGTTGGCCATTTTCTCCTAATAGATCATTGCATAACCTAATTTGCTTGAGAAAATACAATTTGGAAAACTAACAACTAAAATTCGATAGAAACTACAGAAACATCATTTTCGTGACACATCAAAAATTGACATATATACGCACAAAGAGCATAGCACTTTGCCCATGAATTATTGCTTATGAGGTCTGGCAAAACCTAAGCCATGATGTGGTGGACAAGGCATACAAAGTTTTCTCAATACGATGCTGACATATATATTAATATATATTCCCAATCTAGTAGGGGAATCTCGATCAATAATATCCAATGTTTGGTTCAGAGGAAAATAACAGATGAAAAACAATTTGTCTAAAACTATATACGGTTCATCATTTTCTACCCAGGTATGAGGTTAGGTAAAGACTTTTCTTCCCATGTGGTGGAGGTTTGGCCATTGTCGAGGTGAAACTGACATTTCTTACCGTGCTACGAACATTATGAACCAATAGAGGAGATTCGAACGCTATATTACGGATACATAGATAAATG